TCTGGTGCAGCTGATCAGGCTACAGCAGCATAAGGCCCTTCCTTACACTTTACAGTGTTTGTTACTACACTTATTTAACTAACACATTAATCAAGATGGAAGAGGAAATGTGATGTGTTTCCAAGTGATCCTATTTTTTAAAACTGTTTTGGTGATAGGCTGTTTCAATACTTACATGTCTTAATGCAAAATTGTTGAGATGATCAAATTTATATATGATCATCACCATTTTATTTTTTCTTTGCCTCTACTTTCTATTTTATTGTCAGAAGTTAGAAAACAAACAAATAAAACACCCACAGAAAACTGTAAAAAATAGTTCTTCCCATTTCCTTTATTCTTCTTCCTTCCCTTCTCTTCCTTTCTTTTACCTTTCTTTTTCTTTTTCTTTCTTTTTTTTTTTTCAGTTAAATCTAGGGCCTCGAACATGCCAAGGAAACTCTCTACCACTGAGCAACACACTCGATCTTCCATTTACTTTTTATTTTGAAATAGGATGTCACTACATTCCCAGGCTGACTCTCAGGATTCATTCTGTAGCCTAGACATGTCTTCAACTCATGATCCTCCTGCCTCAGTCTCCTAAGTAGCTCTGGCTACAGCCTTTGCCACCAGACAAAAGACCAACTCATCCTCTCTTTATAAAATAATACAAAGTTTTAATTGTAAAGATTATGAAATCGCATCAAATGTAATAGGAGCACTGTAGTTTCATATACTTAATGGGTAGCATATCATATTTTGACATAGTTGCATATGCAGTGAAATGGCTATTTGATGACTTTTAAAAAGTAATTCTCTCTAAATAGATGGGAGTTACATGATAATTCTTCTAGCTTCAGACATTTTTCATAAAGAATGTACTAGGGCATTTGTATATTTAAAACATAGTATCATTATAAACAGTTCTGAAATACATAATAAGAATTCTTGGAAACATAACAAAACATTTCAAATATTCTTTTTACTGCCTTGGGAAATTCCATTTATTGTATATCATTTTAAAAATCTATTTGGATGAAAGTACTCATTTAACAAATGTCACGCTAAACTGGTGTATATTTTTCTTAGCAATATTTTAAAATACTGCATTATAAGGTCAAGTGCTTATGATTTATAGGTGATAAGGATGATAATTAAAATGATAACTAACAAATGTGTCCTTAGAGAACAGACCAGAATACAGTAGAGAGTATATAGAATAAGACTTCATAGGCTATTTCAAGCCTTTTCCCAATCATATTTAGATTTAATCATCTCAAAAACTATTTATTAGTAACATATGAAATTTAACTTGATAACTATGTTATTCCTTCAATCATAAAACAAGGAAAACACCATACAACGGGGTTGAGCAAGGTGAGTATCTTTGTCTTCGTCAAGAGGACTTTTAACAGTAGATTTTTTTTGTTTGCTTTTACAATATCAAAGCGTTTTCATTCTATCTACCCTCCGACAAGTCTTGACTTAGGCTTTGGTCAAATTAAATACATCTACACTCTACTTAGAAAGTGGACAGAGACATGAACAAGAAGGAATGTGTGCTTAATCCTCTCAGTGCCCTTGGAATTAGAGCTGAAGCCTCTCCCATCTGTCTGGAGTCCAGCTCCCCCGAATTTCCCACGCCCCGGCTGCTAGAGAACTCTGTTTAATTACCACTTCCTTTCTGTTTATCTCCACAGAGATTCCTTTGCTTTCATAGAAGGACCCACATGGCCAAGTTCTCAGGAACATCCCTGGTTTTAAAAGCAGACTCTTCGGTGGCCTCAGAAGCCACAGAGGCATGGGTACTACAGAATAGTTTGCCACTCTGATAACTCAATTCATACCTAATCCATTCTTCATATCATTCAGTTTGCCTTTAATAAATAGTATTTTCTTCAATAAAACAAGAAGGAAATGAAACAAATGAAGATATGAGGAGAAAAAAAATTATAGTGAAGACCAGAGAGACTCCAGAAGTAAGAGGAAGGAACTGAGGTGGGCTATCCACGCTGTTCATGATCAGTACAGCTTCACAGCCAGCTTTCCCAACCCCGCATTCTCCTTATCTCTCTTTACACCTGTATTTCTTTTGAACAGTTTCTTCTCTGCTTCTTCCCCCATCCCTTTCTGAACCTAGAAGTTGAGAACATGGTCCTAAAGCCAGAATGTGTACTAGGTGCTGTGTCTCTTTGTTCTCAGGAACTCTGGAGGAAAGTAGCACCCATGGGTTGTTGCTAAATGACTTGGTACATGCAAAAACAAACAAACAAACAAACAAAAAACCACGAGCTGAAAGTGAGCTACTGTTGTTACTGTCTTCGTGTGCTGAGTTCAGAAACAATGTCTTTAGGAGACTCAGAACTCCATGGTGAGTACTGACAGACTGACTCAGGTACCACAGCACCATTCAGCACTGTTTCAATGAGTAACTTTAAATAGACTCTTGGAAAAAGAACCCGGTCCTAAGCATTCGGCTGACTGTAGGTTACATAAAATTTATACTGCATCTGTCATTTGCATGCTCAGTTGCTAGAGCTGATTGTATCTGAGAGCAAAAATCTGGCATAAACCTTTTGCTCATACATTTTTAATTTATGGATTAAAAAGTTTGGAATAACATTCAAAGTCACAGATGCGTATCTGAACTAAACCCAAAATATTTTGAGGTTTCATATCAGCTATAACCATCAGAGAACTTGCTGCAAAAGAAAAACCTTTGCCCAGAAAACAAACCCGAGATTTATGTTGAATATTTACCTTGAGGGGGAAAAATTCTATTTCTCGGTTTACAAACTATAACATTTGGAATCTGGGTTTAAAATAACAAGAGGCCCTACAGAGAAGTGTCACCAATGAATTCGGGCAGTTACCAGCTAGAGCATTGTAAACAAACAAACAAACAAACAAACAAACAAAAAACACTGTTTTGAAACTAAAAAGTAGTTACGCAGTGGTACTTGAATGGTTCTTGTTAGACATGAATGAAGTTCTCCCAGTTGCTTTGAAGATGGTTCCAGATAATTCTAGGGTTTGGAATGGAAGAGCAATTTGCATACAACCCAATGCTAGTATGCAAGGGAAATAGATACCGCATTATATCAAGAGCTTAAATAAGTGTAAGACCAGGTCACCAAATTAAGTACATTTTCCCAAGAACTTCAAGAACAACTATGGAAGGACTCCACAGAACAAACCTTGGCAGACTCTGAAAATGGAGCAGAGTGTTTATAGGTTTGCGGGTACGAACACTGACAAAGTGCATCTCTAATAACATATGGTCACAACCAGTTGTGAACTGAGCTTTCCACATGGTAAAATAACTACAGCAATTGTTGGTTTTGTAGGCAGCAAAAACACATTTAAACTTTAGATGCAGATATGTCAGTGAAAGACGGCATGGCCAGAGGGTGAGACGTAAAACAGTAAAAAGGAAGACAGAAAGACCAGGGAGGGGGATCAAGGTGCCCCTTCTTAATCTAAGAAGGGAGTTCAAGGAGAAATAAGCAAAAGCTGAATGAGAAGAAACTCTGTCTTATCTTTTCATTAAGCCAATGTTAGAGGGTGTAGTTTAATTAATACTTTAAAGTTGAATTCACTGTTATTCAAAAGACTTCAACAAAATTATTCCATGTGTTGAGTCAGTTGATGAATGTTTTACTCTTAGAGATTGCTTTCAATGTGTAATTTTAATTCCCAGTGAACCTGTTAAAATCAAAGGCTCCTGAATCACTGTGCCACCAGCCCTCATGGCCTACTACATTTTGTTACAAACTTTTATGGCTTTATAGTAACTTTATCTGTTCTTTCTGCATTGAATTCCTTTTCCTGTTCATGATTTGATCCTTCTATCTTATCTTCTGTCAATCAATGTCTCCTGGGACTACCCTAAGTCTCTCCCTGCCCTGGTAAAATTTTTCACAATGATGCTTCAGCCTTGTACGTGAGGTATATCACCAGTAGACAATGGTGATTAGGTATTAAATAAAACTGAGGCCTTCTGCTCCAGCCTCATGTGACTTACCAGTTGGCTTCCTTCGATCTGAGCCCTCTCAAAAGCAATGCAATTATCCTATGCTTTTCTGTATTGTTCATCTCCAAGTATAGAATTTGGCATGTAGTTTTGACTTTTTCTTTGGGGCTATTAAAAACCCTTCAGCAGCAATTCTAATGGTGATGTCACCCGTAATCTACTTAGCAACATTAGATAAAATACTATTTTAAAATCTTGGTGTTAACTCATGCTGGTTTTATAAATGAAACTCTCGCTGTTATTTCTACACCTGAATTAATAGTATGTTGATCATAAGGTCATATCCTTCTGTCTTCCTCTTCCTGTATTCCCCTCCCCTTAGCACCTTTTCCAATCTCCACATTTATACTTTCATACTGATTTTTTCATTCGTTTCTTTGTCTGTTTTTTACATATTAAATATTATAAGTATTAGCTATTATCTGTATTATAGATAATATTAGATAAGAACAGGTCATTCTTATCCTCCTGTGTCTTTTTTTCTGGGCCTGGCTTGTTTCACTTAACATTATGTCCTCTAGTCTCATTCATTTTGCTGCAGCTAGAAGGAGCTCCTCATCCTTCATGAATGAGCAGCATTCCTTTGTGCATACATGCCATATTTTCTTTACTCATTCATCAACTGGTGGATTCATAGGCTGCTTTTATGACATAAATATTGTAAGTAATGGGTAGAAATATGGACATATACATATCCTTTTGTATAGTGGCTTCATTTTCTATAAACCTAGGATTGGAAGAGCTCAGTTATGTGGTCCTTCTATTTCTTTTATAGAGTTCTTTAATGAAGCTTTATACTCTTTTCCACAGTGGCTGTGTTGGAGTTACATGACCAGCTTCAGTGTGTAAGACTTCCTTTCGGTTCATATCCTCACAACATTTGTTTTGTTATTGTCTAAACAGGGTAAGACTGTAGTACAACTATAATTTTATTTTGCATTTTCCTTACAGCTGATGTCACTGAATTTTTTGGCAGCCATTGTCATTTCTTCCTTGGAGAAGTGTCTACTCAGACAGGAAGTGTCTACTCATTTCCTGTTGCTTTACATCTTTAAGAATGGTATGTCTATCATTGGTTACATGAGTCCAAATTAAAAAGAAAAAAAAAAAACTAATGACACTCTTCATAGAATAGAAAAAACAATTGTAAAATACAAAAACACAAAAGACCCAATTAACAGAAAAAAAATCTTGAGCAGAATGAACAATTAAATTAAAGACATCATAATTCATGATTTAAGACATACTACAGAGCCAAAGCAACCAAAACAGCTGAGGATTGGCATAAAAACAGATGCAAAGACTGGTGAAAAGCAGCAGCCAGAAAGAAATCCACACACTGACAGCCAACTGACTCAACAAAGGTGTAGTAATCCCGTAGGACTTCACAAATGATGTTGGGAAAACAGGATGTCCACATGTTGAAGACTGACACCTGATCCCTCTCTTCCACCCTGTATTCAATCATCACCCGCTAATCAAAGACCTTAATGTACGATGTAAAGCTGAAATTATTGGAGGGAGACCTGGGGAGCAGTTCAGAATATTGGTACAGACAATTATTTTCCTGGATAGGATCCTAGCCTTGGAAACAAAAGCAAAAATTGACAAATGGTTTATATCAAAATAAAAAGCTCTGCACATCAAAGAAATAATCAGTAGAGTGAGAAGTCTCTACTGGAGAAAGTGCTAAGAAGGGCTGGGGTATAGACTGGCAGTACAATGCTTACTTAACATGCACAAGGCTCTGAGTTCACTCTTCAGCACTGCACACACACAAAATACAAAATCAAATATTCTTCCCGTCATCTCAAAGTGTTTGGTCTTAAGAACCACAAAATAAGTTGAGTCCTTCTTGTGCCCTGGTCACTGCATTTCCATTCCAGGTGTAGATATCCACTTTATTTTATGAAAGAAATCTCTGACTCATGATCTATAAACAAATACTCATCGTGGTATCCAATACTCGGCGTGTCTGTTTTCTACAGGGACTTGTCTAATAGCTTTGCACATATGTGAGCCAGTCATATGCCTTGGAGGTTTTATTATTTGCCCACACTGGAGAGATGGTACCACTTAGGGTGAATAGTGGGAGAGTGAATGGCCACTGGCAATGATTGTACTCCAGTAGGAGATCAAAGTGAAGACCATTCTGGGAAACTGGGATGTACATTCACCCTACTCTATGGAATGTAAATCTAGTCCTCAGATAGGCTGTGTTCCTTTGTTTCCTTGATGTAGGCCTCGGATTACAGTTCCAGTGGTGGTCTGTGGTTTCCTAGGGGTCCCATGTTGTTGGTGTTTAGATTCCCTTTGTTCTCAAAGATCTAGAAAATCATAAACAATATTTCCTGGTAAGTTTATAACACTTTCTATGAATCTTTATTTATGACCACACACACACACACACACACACACACACACACACACACACACACTTCTGTGCTTACAGGGGTCCTGCATTGCTATCCATAAATTTGTAATTACAATCTTTTCCAAAATTCAATGATTAACTCTGATATTTGTGGAATGACTAGGCTTTGGGTCTGTGACATCAACCCCTCACCTCATACAGTGAACTCCATACAGAGTCAATAACTATGGATTCTTAGTTATGGTCATTTCTCCATGGCCTCTATAATTAGCAAAATTCTAAATCTTCATGCAAAAGGTACCTCGAAACTTTCTTCCATGTCAATGTTCTTTCCAGAGCTGGAGGTTCTGTTTTCCGACTGAACAATAAGTGTGGATGGTAGAGGTAACGTGACAAGAGGGGAATTTTATAACAGAATTACCCAGGAAAGTATTTCAGCTGTCAATTTTTGTTTTGGCAAAGGAGGCAGAGCCTTGATGATCTGTGCCAAATCTCTCAACTTAAAGTTTATAAACTCTTTAAAATGTTTATGAAATGAAGATGGAATAATGACAAATCCCAGTCTGTTGTGAAGAATAGCATAATGTGATGAGAGTGACTTACTTTGTAAGTGCTAAATGGTAAATACTTGTTTTAACTCCAACTTAAGATCCCATTGCAGATCAAGTAACGTTGGAAAATGTTAAGTATTTCTTCTTGCATTAGTTATGCAAGAACTTATTTTTTTTTTAAAACAAACCTATTTTAACACCAAGACCCACTTTCACACTCTTCTCAAGGATTCTTCTGGCCCTCCCAAAATAACACTACAGATTGGGATTCTTAAACCTTCCTGAAAACAGGAAAAAGGTTGTCATCTCCCCGGGGGACATGGTCACATCTGAATTTCCTCACTGTCTAAGAGCACCCTTGAGGTCTGGTGGCTCTCTTGTGTTTGCATAGTATTGTGTGTTGGGAAGCCTCTTTTGGGCTAGAAACTTGGGACTGGTCATGTGGGCCTGTATCCAGATCTCACTGCTCAGGGTTCGTGGAACCTAATATTGAACTCTAGAGTCATCATGTCTCCCCTGGTTCATCTGCTCTGGTACACACAGCCAATGAGAGGCAGTGGTTCTCAACCTTCTTAATGTGCGACCCCTTACTACAGTTCCTCATGTTGCGGTGAACCCCAACCATACAATTACATAACTGTAATTTTGCTACTGTTATGAATCATAATGTAAATATATGAAATGCAAGCCCAAATGGGTCATGACCCACAGATGGGGAACCACTGAAGATTATGCACCTTGGACTTGTGTGAGCCAGTCTGTGTTTTCCCTTATTTATTGCTAGAGTTCTGGAAACCAGAGCCAGAAATGCATGTCATCTTCTCGTGCCCTTCCATCTTCCTATCTGGAGGGATAACTTGACACGCACCGTCTATGACTCCCTGAAACGGAAAACATGGGCGAATGTGGACGGGAAACAGGAAGAAGCGGAAGGATATTTTTAAGCGTGTGTTTTATGGTGTGATGATGGACGGCTTCGTTGGAGTGACAGCTGTCTACGGAAAAAGGAACTCTGGTTTCTTGTAAAGAGCACTGTGTGCCTCAAGGAAGACGAGGAAGGCAGCTTCCTGCAGACTTTTGATTCTGGCTCCAGAGCTTCAGCAGCATTCGCCGGTCTTCTTTCTATACACACCTAAAGCTGGAGCTGGGGCAGCTGCAAGGCCAGGGCAAGCAAACAACGTGACAGATGCATAGAATAAGGCAGCGCAAACAACGTGACAGATGCATAGAATAAGGCAGCGCAAACAACGTGACAGATGCATAGAATAAGGCAGTGCATGCATGATGGCTCTTCCACAGAGACCACCTCATGGTATTTCTATAAAATCCACTGGGCTCTCTCAATAATTATAGCTACATGTAGAATGATCAATTCCTCTGGCTGTCGTTAGGCCGACATGATAAAGATTCACGATAAACATGATAAAGATTCATAAAACTCACAACAGTACTGAAGGGAATAGACTGAGTTTTCTAGATATTGCATGCTAAAAAATTATGTATGTACATGCGTGCATATGTGTGGTCTTCTGGGAATTTAATTCTTTAGAAATATAACTGAGTGGATTTTATTCCTTAATCGCCTTTTTTTATATTTGTTTACAGAGTATCATAATTGAATGTAACAGGGGAAAGAAACATACAATTCTCTTCCAGTTTTGTATATTTGCTACATGAATATGATAGTCCATCCTCAACACCAATATTCTGCATTAATGTTTAATGGGAAAAAAATCTATTATTGGCTCACAGATGTGCTTTGGAGTAATACTTTACAATTTCAATATTTTATGATTTTCTCAGCCAGGAAATACGTGTGTATTGTTCCTTCACCATGTCCAATTAGACTATCAACTCTTGCTCCTCTTTTACCAAGAAGCTTGATTTTCTAAGGTGCCCCACCAGGAGTAAAGGTTTATTAAGTTTCATTTATGTGTTGTGAGATATGTGCTCAAGAGGAAAACAGAGTGTTGAACAGATAGCTTTCTCTGGGGTGAATATGTAAATAGTGCACTATCGGAATTCTTTTGCCAAGCATGTTCCGGACTAGGTACATTATACAGGTTACTCTCATAGAAAAAAAAAAAAAGGTTGGAAACTGGAAGGCACCAGGACCACCTTTTAATCATCACTCTTATAATAAATCTAGTTTAAAAATCACAACGTCGTGTTTTCAGTCCCATTTCCAAGTTATTGCAGCCACATTGATCCTTCCTGGCCCTAAGTTCCCCGAGTAGCCATTTGTGTAGTTTTGGGATGCTTTGTCCCATAGTGGTCATCATGAGTCGGGCCTGAGGGTTTCAAACAGCGACTCCTCACCCCTTTCAGTCCTGCCTAAAAGGTACCCACCAAGTCCTTTTTCTTTTTGAAGATGACAGAGGGACGCGGGCGCCAAGAGCTCCGTCTACTGTGTCACAGCGCCCCCTAGAGGCTCGATGCCTTGAGGGCGGCCTGCACCCGGAGCTGTCTCCAATCAAGTCCGCCTTTGTTCTGCTTATCTGGAGAGCGATCTGTGCAGCGACCGAGGACCGTCTCTGAGAAAGTGGGCTGTGTTTGATAACCACCATCTAAAGCCCAAAGTTTCACGATCTTCACTTCCAACTATCTACGGCTCAGGGGTATTTTTTTTTTTTTCTTTTTCATACTTAATGAGAGGTTTTTTGGTTTGGGGGTTTGGGGTTTTTGTTTTGTTTTGTTTTTGTTTTTTCTCTTTGCCAACCAATCACAATAACCAATTTGCACCTTGGTCAAAAGCCTTTAATGGCTTTTTGTTTGGGATGACAAAAATCCCTGAAAAGTAAGTAAAAGTCTCGGGGAAAAAAAAGGAAAAAGACTGATGTTTGCAGCAGGGACACCCGCAGGACTCATCTTGGAAGCTGAGCGCTCGCTCCATCTCTTTTGCAGATTTTCCTGCTCCCCTCGCCCCACCCCCCGCTTTGTTCCGCTTCAAACCTTTCAGAGGGCTGAAATGCATTATTACCTTGTTAAATCTCAACCCAAATCATTTCTACAGCCCGAAGCTGTTTTGACGTGGGCTGAGCATCTCTCTCTCTCTCTCTCTCACACACACACACACACACAAAAGAATTGCTTTTGTTCCCAGAAGCTCTCATTGGCTGAGCGGCCTGCGCTTCGGGCCAATCAGAAGCGAGTTGTCAGGCTTGGCAGGCTATTTTTAACCCAACACACAAAAACACTGGGTCTTGGAGGCAGTCCGCCGCGGAATGAAAGTCCCCATAGTAAAAGAGAACAGCTGAATGTATTTTGGATGTCACGGCGTGTTTGACATTTTCTCTTTAATTCCGTATACACTGTTACATTAGCATGTGTTTTTTGTAAACAACTAACTCAGAAATGGACTGCGTCTCCCCGCTCGGAATTGCCCTTTTAGTAAAGGAAAGCCTTAAAAAAAATAAATACAATGTTCACGCTTGATCCAAAAGCAATACACGGCGTGTGGAGGTGTTTCTTACACATACACACACACACACACACACACACACACACGCACGCACGCACGCACGCACGGGCACACACATACACACAAGTTGCAATGGAAATGTAGATTTTCATCTTGGGTTGATGGAAATTTTCATCAGTTAACTCCTTGTGAGTGACAATCATAGCCATCTTTCCCCGTTGCTCTCTAAATATGTATATAATTACTCCAACATGCATACACTTGATGTGTGGGGACTAAAACTATAAATATTCGGGGTGTGTGTGTGTGTGTGTGTGTGTGTGTGTGATGAAGCATTGTTTGCAGCATGCTCCCTTATTCAACCCATTGTTCAGCGGGGAAAGGGGTTTTTAACCTCCCTAAATACACCTTAAGTGACAAGACATTAAAACACACAATTTGTTAATTATCCAAAGTTTCCAGGAAATCAAAGTTGCCAAATGAGAAAATGCCAGGCTGTAAAGTTTGATTTTTCCCCTCAGCCATCCATTTAACAGGCCAAAAAGGAGAAAAAAGCTAAGCTGATCTCAAAATATATAACACAAAGCAATTTTACTGGCAGAAAGGGGGACTGTTTCCTGCAAAGGAAGTGGGGGGCGGGGATCTAAATAAGAAAGACGGCAAGAACCATATCTAGTTCTTAAAGGGGATTTTAGGTTGTCGTTTGGGCCAGTATTTACCCAAGCTTGGGATATGACTTCACCCGTGGTTCTTCGTTAATCTCCCGAAAAAGTCCTTTTACCTTTTGGTGCCAACCATGGAGGTGCTGTTGGAACATGGCGACAGTTGATTGTGGAAATCCCCAAAAGGCTTCGGGGACAAATGGCTTGGGTCCCATCCAAAGATTCAGGGAGTGGTTTGCAGAGAACGGCGTCCATATCAAGTGGCCAAGAATAGTGAAGGTTTTTACACACAGTTCTACCAGAACCGGGGGAATCACAGCCAGACCGAGGGAAGACATGTACCTTGCCTTAAGTAATGCAGACTTCCCTGTTGAGGAGGAAGGTCTCCTGCATTTCGGAAAGTGAATTTGAACAATTTTAACAACTCGCTTGGAAGAGAGGTAACTCTTTCCAACATCAATTTGAGGCACACTAGGACAGCTTTTTAAAAATCTATATAATAGCTCCCAGGAGCTTTGCTAGGTTTAGGTAGACAACCAGCTGTTAACAATTTAGTTTAATATTCATTCTTACTAAATTCAAAGAATGTGATCAAGTGAGCCTCAGCAAGATTCTTATCTGTTGGCTGGAGCCTCATACCTTAAACTCCCTTAGTAATTAAACCATTGCAAGTTTTTTTTTTTTTTTTTTTTTTTTTCTTTTTAAGCCAGACTCCTATTTTATTTCCTCACTCACTTCCTTGTGCCGGGTGTTTTTGCTCTTGGCTTAATCATCTGGGCAGTTCCTTTGTTTTTATGTTTGTCTGGTTTAAAAGTAAATATACAACAATATTAACAATTTTATAAGTCTGTTTCCAGCTCTCTCTCTCTGTGTTTGCATCTAAACTCCTTGAAGGCAAAAGAAAATTGAATAAAATGGGTCTGTTATTCTTTTTAAAAAAAGTTTAACTCCTCCCACCCAGTATTTGGTGAGTCTTAAACCTGCATGGTGTACATTTTGCTCTCTGTGGAAACCCTTCTGGGAGAAGAAACATGTGAAGGTCACTTGGCTGTGTCTCTGTGGGAGCGGTGAGCAGGAAAAGGCTGGGTGAGAGTGGATTCCAGTCCCTACATAACAGATAAGAATGGAGTTATTGTTAACTGCAAAATGTAGACTCATATGTCTACAAGATATCTTATGATCTGTAATAATATTTGGAGCGATCACATGCTGACTGATAGCTGTTATAATGCTAACTGGGGAATGACTGCAATTCCTGAACTTTAGCACTCACACCAGTGAGTTGGGAGAACCAATAAGCCAGACAAAATCATAACGGACCAAACAATAGTTCCAGGATGACAAAGGAGGTAGTTGCTTAGAAGTGACAGTTGGGTAAAACTGTGAAGTATGTCTGTCATGGTATCTTCTTCAGCTTGCTTCTCCCTTCCTAAGAGGCGTGCTTCAAGCCTCTCAATGTTCCCATCCTCCAACGTCTTCGTTTGATCATGAGCTGCATTTCCCCCTTTTCTCTCCTCACCCGTCTTCCCAACCTGCAGTTAAGAATAAATCCTTGGGCTTCTCCTCTCTTTTTATTTTTTGATTGAGCCGAAACCATGCAGATTTTTCTATACATGGTGTGTGTGTGTGTGTGTGTGTGTGTGTGTGTGTGTGTGTGTGTGTGTACCATTAAGCACAAGTATATAGAACACTTCTTAACATGCCATAGGACACGTTCACTATTTCCTTGACTGTGATATTTTCAATTTGATTTATTTGTGGCCCTCCAGAAGAATTGTCTGTGTGAATTGTGTTGACTTTGTTGGGGGCCTTCATGCAGAGAGACAATCTGTGCAAATAGTGTTCTTGACTGAACCGTATCTTCTCAATAGGCTTTGTAACTGTTCATCACTTTGATCTGTTTTGATCTTGTGAATAGTTGACTGTTGTCATTTTTCTTAGATTAATAGAAAAATATGAGAACATATGAAAAACTAGAACCAATGCATAATCTATAACGTTAGCAATGGTAAAAGGAAAGTACCTTTTAAAAAAAATTAAAGACTAGTAGACTGTCCTAGATCGTGAATGACATAAGGATATTAGACATTGAATTAAGGAAAGTTTAACAGAAAAATTGAGTGGGAGAATAATTCTACAAGGATGATTGGTATTCTAAATTTTAGTGTGCAGGCTGCAGTGAACCCTAGAAATGAAGACAACAGTTTTAAAACAACCCATCTAAATGAAATTATCATCCAGAATGAGCTAAACACTTTGGAGAAATGCAATTTTTATTGTGACCAACCATTAAAGATCAAGTAGAAGTCATTACAATGTTCACAATTAAGAAATAAAGAAAAACAGAAGCTTAGCTGGCATGGAAACAAAGGAAATATGAAAATTAAAAATAAAAATAGAGCCTATAGCTGAAATTTATGATGCCTTATTTTTTCTTGCTTTTATAAATAGATAAAACAATATTGTATGTTACCTAGAAACTCCAAACTATATTACTTAAATAAAAAACAATTTCATTTACATTGTATTGTCAGGATACAAATCAGTTGAAACCGGAAAAAGTCATAATAAGGCTCAGAATAAAAGAATAAAAGTCATAGCATTTCTAGTGTTGTAGGTGTATATGTGTATGCATGTGTGGGCCTGCATGTGGGGATCAAAGGGATACTTATGGGAGTCAGTTTTTACCTTTAAACATGTGGGGTCAAACTCAGTTCTTTAGGCTTGGCAACAAGTGCCTTTCCTCGCTGAACCATCCTGTTGGTCCTAAAAGAATAAAATATAAATGATTCTTTTGTTTTTTTAATAAAACACCATACATTATAAGTATGGCATTTACAATAAGAAAAAAAAAACATCCAAAGAATATGACTTCATTACATCAGCAAAAATACTAAGGGAAAACAGTTGGGGAAAAAATTTTAAACGTGTTTGGTAAGTACATAGTTTTAGCAAGTTATTTGAATTTGTGAAAACTTGCAAGGCATCCTTTTGTACTGGCATCTCAAACCATTAATCATGTCCTAATTATTATATAGTTAGGTGTAATAACTGAAGCATAGGTGGGGCAGGATATCAGT